AATTCGTTTACAGAAATTTAATGTTTTCATTTCAATAAATCATAAAACTTTTGTGGGTTACAATTTTTATCGCAACTTAGTTTTCGTTATTTTGTAAGTAAATGCGATCATAAATGTAATGTTTTCTACATCTTTCCTCTAGAATATTTTTACCGTTTCAATATTAGTGTGTTAACAATTTTAAACATTAACTATAAATATGATCATTAATTAAATGTGGCTATTACATGTTATATTAACATGTTTTAAATTATGAGAATCATTGTTAACTATTTAATACTTAGAGGGGTTCCTATTGTCTTTTGTATTTTTGAAATACGATACTATTAAAATGTTATATGGTTATATATTTCTCCATGAGTAATAGTCTTAATTTGGTGTTTTAAGAAAGGAATTTACTAAATTTCAGATAATACAAAATCAGAAAAAGATAGATCAATAGGAATGCGTGGTGGAGGAAACAGAGCCCCCCAAGCTTTGTATAGGCCAGGAAGTGGACCTCTTCGTAAATCTGGAAGATCCACAGATGATTTAGAGAATGAGAACATCTCGCTGGAGACAACTAAACCAAGCTCCGTCCAACATCGTTTGAAGCAGTCACAACTGAACAGATCCAATCAAAGTTTTAATAATCCACCATCATCTCAAGTTGAACACGTAACAGAAAAATTGAATGATTTAAACGTTAACTACAGAACTACTACAGACATTGAACAGACACAAGGTTCTTCACAAAATAGTAATTTAGGAGATTCACGAAGGAAAAGCAAGAAACCGGAACAACAGCTGTATGTACCCAAAAAAGTAAAAGAAGCATTAGCTGAACAGGACATTTCGAATAGGTGAATTCTGTAAAAGTGTTTTTGTTTCATTGTTAACGAATAACTTGATAGTTATTAACAAATATTTTCTTTACCTTCCAGATCATCCAATCAAGGGGTTTGGGATCGAGATCAAGATAGAGAACACAGTGAAGACCGTGATTCTCATTCCAATCGCAGTCATAAAAGCGACAGTCATCATAATCGTGCAGGTGGTCGTGGTGGTCGAGACAATGATAATGGAAACAGAGGCAGAGATGATCATGGGAAAAGATATTCGGGAAATCGTCGAAATCGTCATGGCAATGAAAATGAAGAGCGTTGGCGATCTGATTCACCTCTATCTAATAGAAGCTTTGGAACTCGGAAAGATAATTCCCGTGAAGTTAGACAGGTTAGAAATAACTGTGATACTCTGATACGATATTTAAGGCTGTAGAATTTATATTTCTTTTCAATTGGCGATGATCATTCTTCTAGGGTTCAGAGCCACTTTTTGCAACAATGAATCATGTAAATGATTTCAATCGTACGAGGGATACACGCAGCGTAGAACCAGACAAATTTCAAGGCAAACCACCTTCAGGCAAATGGGGTGGTCCAAAAGATAGTTTACCCAAAAATATAAAAATAGAACACTTACCACCACGGTTACAGAAAAAATATCTTATTGATAACGGTTTACCATTACCACCAAGCAATCCATCACCCGCAGAAGACTGGAATGGCAGTAGTATAACATTTCAGGTATATTTTATAGTATTTTGACCTTCGCGAAGATTATGTCAAATTTTTATTGAAGTTTTAAGACACAAGTATTCTTTTTAAAGGGATCAACAAGCTATAATTATCCACCTGCTATGCAACATTCACAAACTATGCAAAGTTTACCACCTTCTGGCCCATTACCTCCACAACCTAGCTGGTCTAATACAGTTCCGGCAAGAAGTAGAGGCAGAGGTAGACTCAGACCCGAAGAAATCGAAAGTTCAACAAACATCTTTAGGTGTGTTACACCTGATCAATATTCAGCTCCAAGTTCCCGGTCTCATACACCAAGTCAAGAATACATGCAAAGGTATATATACATTTCTTTACATTACTGATTTATAAGCATTTTTAGGGAACAAATTTTAAGTTTTTATGTACTTCGAAAAGTAGGTCTTACGATCGTCGTGGTAGCAACAGTACTATGTACACCAGTATGGAGAGTTTAAGTCGTGCTGACAGTTCAATGATGTTGCCACCACCGTCAGTATCACCTGTAACTTCAACATCTAGTGTGAACAAACGTCACAGTTCGCCCGATAGCCATCGTCGGGGAATGTCACCACCGCCAACTTTCCATCGTCCTCAAACGTAATGATTTTTTTAAAAGTGATCCTTTAATTTGTCACATTTTTTGCTCATTATTAGTTCATTTATTTTTTAAGGCAACGACAAAATAACAGTGCACTTGACCGTAATACAGCATCGGAAAAGAAAAATAATCCGCAAAATTTAAGCATTAGTCCATCAAAAAGTGAATCCCTCAATACTGGCTCAAATACAGCTGATCATGTATTTGTAAGTATCTTCGGTAAAGAAATATATATATGTATAATTAATATTGATATATCATCATATGTGAATAATAATAATATTTAGGATTGGAATGAGGAGGTTGAGTTGCATGAAAAATTGGAAGCTGAACGCGCAAGTCGTAGTTCTTCTGTATTAAGTTTGCGTGAAAACGTTAACATGTCTGGAAATGAAACTACAACTAGCAATCACAGCCGACGTAAAAAAAGAAAGCGTGAAAAGCGACACGCAGCAGATCGGTAAGGGTGCTTTCTCAGACTTCTGAATACAAATATTTCGTAATTATTACTTTTACATAGAGTATTAAATGTAATGTTTCGAATATATTGTAGGAGCAGCAGCAGGGATAAAGCTCGAGTTAATAGCCGTGATCGGCAAAATAATCAACAGAACAGAGAAAATGATAACTACAACAACAATCAAAAGAACAATAATAGTAGTAGAAGATATGATCACAGAAGGCATCATCGCAATATTATACAACATAGCCGAGAATCTAGCAAAGATAGAAATTATCGTAGTAGTAGTAGAAATTTTGATGATCTTCACAGACATAGGTAAAAACTACTTTACTAAATGTGCAGTTTTCATGGTAGATACACGTTACAATTAGAAATTTATTCTTCACTCGTTATACATATTTTTAGAACATCTGATCGATACTTGGATGAAAATTGGAGAACCGGAAGGAAAATGTCTGCTTGCGAGTCCGACGACGGACGACACACACCAAATGTTGCTTCTCATTCTGCCCCTTTAACAAATACTACTTTGAACTTACCATCGCACCAAACATCTACTGGTTATAACAACTCTCAGCAACCAGGCGTATTGGTATTACCAGATACTAACCAATCGCCGCCCAATCAGTCCGGTTCAAGACAGCAAGGGCTGCAGCAACAGAGGACATTATTTAATCATAACAATCCCAATAAACCTATTGTGGTTCCTTCGCCCAGTAGCAGGGCAACAGTACAAAGGTAAAGATAATTTTGTACTTTCTTCTTATTTCTATGTCGTTTTCTGTGTTTAATAAAAATGTTCGTTTACAGAGAGAATGATAGCTCAACACAAAGTTCCACTGTCCCTGTGTTCCAATCTCATGGAGGCATAACTTCACCACATCATAGTTTTCAAGGAGCACACTTGGACGGTGTACCACCCCCATACATGCCGAATGACCAATTTGCAAGTACAAGACCTTCGTGGTACGATCCATACTCGGATAGGTATGTGAAAGTGATAAGATATACTATAGATTAAAACTGGAAATGAAACATTTTACCAATACAATCTTTCTCTGATAGTTTCCGATCAGCCAAGAATCCTTACTTACTTCTGGACATAGAACGTGCTGATTTAGAGTTACAGTGGATATTGAGTTCTGGCGGGTTCACTACAAACTGGGAAAGAGTTTTATACATAAGGCATTTCTTGCAAGAAAGTTTGAAAACTCTACTTGAAACTGACATCAAGTTTTGTCAAGCCGAGAATGTTGAGCAACACTTTTGGAAGATACTTTTTTATAACATGATCGAAATGCTTCGGAAGGGTATGCCGAAAGAAAGTTCTGAAGGTCGGGAGCATTACAAAAAAATGATGCTGAAGATCATCGACGAAGGCACTGTATACTTGGAAAGTTTGCTGACTGTTCTTGAGAGCAAATACGAATTTAAATTGGACATGTTTCTTGCATCATCAACTTTGCCTAAAGGCCTTGGAATCTTGGGCTTAGCGTTAGTAAGCGCGCAGAAAATATACTTATTTTTAGGTGACTTGGCCAGATACCGAGAACAAGCAAATGAAACGAATAATTATGGAAAGTCTAGGCAGTAAGTGTCGATGAATGTACATTAAACTTTTCCGCTCGAATTTCGGTCCTGAGTTCAAATTAAATTTCACATTATTCTTTCTTAGGTGGTATTTGAAAGCGCAACAACTTAATCCAAAGAATGGAAGGCCCTACAATCAACTTGCCTTATTAGCTCATTATGCAGTAAATATCACAAACTGATAGTTAAATGTGTAATTATAAATATTAAAACAATTGCAGGAATTCAAATATCAATTTTTTTTTTTAGCGACGAAAATTGGATGCAGTATATTATTATATGAGGTCTCTCATGGCATCTAATCCGTTTCAATCTGCGAGGGAGAGTTTAATAGGACTTTTCGATGAAAACAGGAAAAAGGTACAGTAAACGTACAGACAATTTTCGAATATGGTTGTATTGATACTAACTTTAATAATATTTTGATTCTGTTTTGCTGCCAGTATCTACATTATGTAAGTAAATTTCGATACTTGGTGTGACTTCCTTAGACATCTTAACCGAAGCTTAGATCAGTTCCTTCATCTACGTGCTGCTTAATGTGTACTATTTATTTTGTACAAATAGACTTTTTTCCATCAATTTTCTCGCGCAACATGGATCTCTCCGCACGCTTATAGTTGAACATATTACATGTATATTTCCCAGATAGTAATAATGATCAGAAGGAGAATCCTGCTATGCTTGAATGAAATTGATTCATAGCACAATCTTAAATGGTAATACCCCGGCGTATAAATTAGTTCTTACAAAAAGAAACATAGAACCATAGTTGAGAAGTTAGTACGCTGCATACTGCTAGATCGTTAGCTGTAAACTAATGCACCGTCTCTACTAGTTATTAGCACTACATTGCACAAAATGTTAGCATGCAACTTTTATACATAGTCGCCAATAAAAAAAGGTACAAACATTTTCCAATGTACAATGTCTGCATCTTAGTATGTGAGAGATTTTAGGGGTCATTGCATTACGGATATTAGATCCTGTAAAAAAGAACTAATAGAACGACCTCTCATTTACGTTATGCACCATGCTGTTCTCAATAAAACCAGGGGTACGGTGGTTTTTCTTGAAATTGATTGTGTCATCTGTTCCAATAGTATGAGTCAACCGAACGGAAGCGAAAAGAAGAGAGGGAGTGGAAGGAAAGGGCCAGAATGAAAGAGAAAGAAGGAGCAAACAATGTCGGGGGTGGATTGAGAAGAGAAATTTGGGTTCATCCTGGTGGTAGACGAGTTCGTCGTACAACTACCGCAGCCACTGCCAATGAAGCGAGATTGTCTCACAGTGATTTAGAAGACTTGGCGCAACTAAGTAGCGTCGAGGTACGGAAATTGTCTAAATATTACGATTTCTGTGATTTTGTTCTCAATTAATAACATTATCAACACACGTCATTGTACTTCCAGGTGAATAAGAGGTTCGTCACATCTTATCTACATGTTCATGGAAAGCTGATTACCAAGATAGGGTAAGTTACTTTTACTACAACTTTATACGTTATTGAAAAATATAAGAAAGACGGGCATCTCAATACTCTCTCGGGAGAAAGAACACGTTTCTGTATCTGGTGGAACGGGGGGCTATTTGAACCAACCATAAATGTATTTCGTACATGAAGTCCAGCGGATAAATTGTTACGTAGGAACTTCTGAGATACGAAAATGTATTGGAAACAAAATCTCCTCGTTCTATCGGTGTCCGTGCGACACTTAACTCGGAGGGAACGATGTGCAACTCTCAGCCATGTTTCCACTGAACAGCACATTTGCACGGAGACCGATGAATCGCTGGTAACTGTTATGTTTCCTTGTGTAAATACCTGCGGAGGTCGCGCGCACTGTTGGTTTAACGCGTTTCCGTGAAGCATCAGCGTTTTTGTTACCTGGCAAATTGTGGTGCTGTAAAGTTGACAACTTCAGAATATTCTCCAAACGAATTTTCGTTATCTAAATGAAAATATTTCTTTATCGAACTACTACATAAAAGTATCCCAATCTAATTTGGCATCGTAGGATTTTTGAAAGAAAGAAATTGATTTCTCCAGCACCAAAGTTCTAAAAATACGTGCACACATTTATTACATGTATAAGTCTTCGCATAGAATTTTTTAACGCGGTATTTGTGTAGTACAAGTGGTCATCTATATTTAGTGCATAAAAGCTTGATCCTATATGTCATTAGTTCGCCCAAGAAACCTTGCTCGCTATATGCTCGCATTACGTCAGGACATTACCGTGTTCTCTCGTTTATTATGCAAGCAAAGTTCTAATGGTTCCCAGCTGGGCTATAACGGGGAATTCGTAACTCAAAGGGTTCACGGCGTGTGTAACTTTGCTGGCTATATAGGTCTCGGTTCTATTATTAATTGCACCATTGAGATTTTAGTGCTGCCGATACGTTACGTTGCGTTTACTTCGGTAGCTTTACGACAGAATTATCGATCCCGCCAACAATGCCACCGAAAGAACATCAATTTTTCATTCCGTCTTCATGATAAATTGGTTTTTCGTTTTCCGACAGAATCTCGTTCACGAGTCTGCATCGTTTATTTACGAATTCGGCCAATATTAAACAAGTCCCGGAGGACTTTCTAAAATTAGTCCCGCAATTAATCACCCCGCAGGAAGATCGTTCGTTGCATCTTCATCAATTTTCTTTCTTGTCCCGCGTCTCGACGCGCTTATCCGTGGTCTTCTTATAAGGGGAAAGGTCGCTCATAGACAAGGTGAACTGCTCCAAAAATATTCCACGGTAATTAGCGGCGGGCAATTAACAGTCGCAGAATTACGAGCGCGCGACGCCGCGGTTGAGGCCCGGTCATCTTTTATCCATTAAATTTGATTGCTTGGTCGCCTCGGCGAGTTTCATCGGTTTGCTTGTTTACTGAATCGTTACCGTGGCAGAACAAATAAAAAGGCGGATCCGGCCGATCGAAGGTCGCGCCGTGAATCAAGCCCCAGCATTTCTCTCTCTCTCTCTTTCTCTCGTATAATGCAAACGTAAATACGTAACACGGTTGCCAATGCATTATATCGCCTCGCATTGCATAATGATGGATTATTCTTCTTAGCCGGATCAGAAACCGTTCGCAGCCTTGCCCCCTCGAGATTGCTTCCGCTGCATCCCGGTGCACTTGCGTCGGCCTGCATTGATTTCTGCCTTGTTCGAAACGGTTTCGTGAAACGGCCTCGATCAATCACTCCTCGATACTCAATTAATACCGTACGTCGTGTGCACCGCCAGCGTCTTTGAATCCCATATCGAATCACATTGTTCACGAGCTATCATCCGACTCGTCTAATTTTGCGAAATCTTTCTTTGTTATTTTTAACAATAAGGAAACAGAGTGGTTGTAACACGCGATGTTTCATCGCGATAACTACAAGTGAATTTTAATCGACGGCATGATTGTTATTACTTCGCGGAGACAATAGTGGACAATTTTGCTCGACCATTACACGCTCTTGGTAAATTAAGCACATAGTTAATGAATATTTCGAACACAGAAACGGCTGGATCGCTTGAATAACTTTCTTTCGAATAATCTGTGCGCGTGAAACGCGATTAACAGTTTACAGGCGCGAAAGGTTTGCAAATAAGATCGCAAATAAAATTTCACCAAAATCGGAACAACCGTTGCAAATTGATAGTTGCCCTAATCGTTTAGCCGGTATCTTTCTCGCGTGCCTTTTGCAATGTGGCTGGAAATCGATACTGGTTTTCCTGAATGTAATATTCGAGCCTGCGGATTTTGCAAGCCAATATTACGAGTACCATAAAAGCGTCTTAGTATGAAATAAAGACCAAGTATACTCTCGACGTATCACCCCGTTTCCTCCAGCAGCGTATCGACGGTATTCCGCAGAATACAACGGGGTCGGGTATGTTTCCAAAAAGGACGTAATAAAAGTGAAGAGAAATAAAAAAAACGGGCGGGGGGAGTAAAACGATATGTGATGTATGCTAATAGTACTAATAGAGTCTCGTCCTCGGTGTATACTCGTTGCAGAAAGGTTCAGTCGTTCCCACGTGTGAAAAACGAGCCTTACAGGTTCGCTGGTAGCAAAGAAAGAAAGAGCGAGAGAGAGAGAGAGAGAGAGAGAGAGAGAGAGAGAGAGAGTGCCAGGCACAGGCTGGACTCAGTGCGGTCAACAGGCGCTTTACGATTAGCAATCCATTGCGCACATAATCATAATGAAATGTATCCTCTCCGACTCCTTTTTAGCCTTCTCGCTCTTTTTTCTCTGTCGTTTCCCTCTTCTTCCCTCGCGCGATCCATCGGCTGGCCCGAGCCTCCGTTTTCTTCGTTTCTGCCGGGTAGGGCCCGACTCGGCCCGTCTCGGCCCGGCCCAGTCCAGCTCGTGATCTCTAGAACCCTGTCGAGCTCGCCGTGTGGCCACGCACGCCGGCACGTAACTTCGTGTTTTCTTGCACGGCGGTAAAAATGTTAATTGACAATTGCGTGGCGCCACCGGCCACCGTCTCGTCCCATTCTCGGCCAGGACCTGCGCCTCGGATGCCGCTGCTTGTAGCGATGGGACCAAATCCTGTTGCTGGAACAAGTCTTCAAGCTTGTTCACACCTTGACCCAACGATGTACAGAGTTCCATGAAATCGAAGCACCGTAGAATCTCGACTATCTAGACTATGTAGAGTAACATGAACGTTCGGATAATAGAAATTTGCTATTACAGTGACAGATCTCATCTTTATTGACATGTACAATAAATGATATTTGCATATGAATCGACTTGGATTCGGCGGATCGCATACGAAACGCGTTTGGGTAATACGAAATTTTAACCCTTTGCACACGAAGCTATTTTAACCGTAAACCTAAAATAATTTTTCCGACTTATAGTATTTCTATTTTATATGACAAAGTGCATTTTGAGATGCGTATGAAATTGAATCTTCCGGTGACTCGTACAATAGTTACACTTTTAACAATTTCTTAAATGTAAACTTTGTTAATATAAAAATTAGCTTGGAATATGCTACAACAATTTTAGCGGTGCCTCAGAGTGACCACTCGAGTGCAAAGGGATTAGATAATTACGATCCTTCTGTAATCTGCCCGTCCTCGCGTTTTCGACCGAGTATCCGTCCACTTTTTGGACATTATCGCATTAGTTTATGGTTCAACAGTGTTCAACAGTACTACGCAAAGAATCTCGAAGAGTACAATTTCAAAGTGATCTACCCATCTGATCGTCAACGAAGGGTTGAGAAATTAAAAATTCGAAAGTCTGGAAGTCTCGTATTTATTTTGAATCCCATGGCTCATTTGCGAGGAGAGTCGAACGCTTCTATTTTATTAATGGCTCAGGCTTGGCGTCTTTGAACGGTAGCTTTCCGGAGGCGTTCTACACGGGCAAAATCGAGTCAACAAACTCTGTTGGCCCACCACTTACAGCTCTGCAAGATAAACTGTTCTCCCACGAGGAAAAGCAGTCTCCGCGGTTTTCTCGAAAAGATATCCCCCAAACTGTACGCACGGAACAGATGTTCCCCGCCCTGGGAACGCTATGGATTTCCCTGGGGTTTCGGGGTAAATATCATTAGAAAAAGGGACTCTCTTGCGAGTTCTTCGTAATCGCAATAGCGGTTGCTAGATTCGTTTTATTCGGTGGCTGTGATGCGACCAAATCGTACATGCTTGTCTTCGTCGGTCATTAGCTTCAAAGAATTCTTCGTTTATTATTTATATGCAATAAATATATTTTCGCAAGATGGAGGAACTGATTCGTCTACGCTCAATGACCTAATAGTCGATTGGTACAGACTTACATCTTTTTTCTATAGAATTTTGAAGTCAGTTGAATATCGCCGTCTTCGTCAGTCATTAGCTTCAAATAATTCTTCGTTTATTATTTATATGCAATAAATATATTTTCGCAAGATGGAGGAACTGATTTGTCTACGCTCAATGTCCCAGAAGTCGACTGGTCCAGACTTACAACTATCCTTTTTCTATCGAATTTTGAAGTCAGCTGAATATCGCTGTCTTCGTCAGTCATTAGCTTCAAATAATTCTTCGTTTATTATTTATGTGCAATAAATATATTTTCGCAAGATGGAGGAACTGATTCGTCTACGCTCAATGATCCAGAAGTCGACTGGTCCAGACTTACAACTAACTATCTTTTTTCTATCGAATTTTGAAGTCAGCTGAAAATATTGCAGCTGGTTTCATCAGTTTCACCATTTTGGAATTCACCATTTAGAAGCTCGAATATCCGCGCGACGTGCAAAGATGTCGAACTCAATCCCATCGCTAGCTACGCGTCATCCTCCTCCGTGTACCCGGTGTCTTGGTAGGTAACGACCTTGCGGATACCTTGCAGGTACGTTTAATTGTAGCGCGGCTGAGTCCGCGACGCGTCATACCAGATAGTCGTAAAATCGGTATCGATATATACTCGGCATCGGATCGTTGCCGGGATTTATGGTCGCGGCCACGCAAAA